CCGTCTGGTAGATTATTTTAAATTATTAGATACGTATTTTTTATTTTTTACAGACAGGAATACTTTCGTCGATATATTGATTTGAAATGTCGCGTGACGTCACTTTTATATACATTTTATACGTAGAAATGACGTTTAAGCCCCCACTCCTAAACTTTGATTCGTTTTATCTAAGTATAATTTTATTATACATCAAAATAAAAAAGTCCGTGTACAAAATTTTTTCATTACCTAACTAACGGACTAATTAGATTTTTAATTTTCATGCCCTGTCATCGTCCCTATTCTAACGAAGGTATACAAATCCATGGAAAATGATCCCAAAACAGAGCCAAAAAATCCTCCCCTTACGGGTAATCCTAAGAGTTCAGTGAAGGCAATTTGTTTCATAATCTGTTACGAATAAGATACAATCCCACAATAAGTTGGGTGTCACTGACATGGGTCGACGGGAGAGGCAATCTAATAGCAAAATGATTCATATCTTCAAGATTCTTCTAGTGCAGTTATTTTCGTGACGTCATTTGTATTTTAGAAAGAATCGTTTTTGGGTGAAAATCAAATTTGCTCCTTCGTTGGCCGAGTGGTCGCAAGTGCGACTGCCGGGCTTGGCTCGGCTTCTTGGGTTCGATTCCTTGGTCGGGCAAAGTATTACTGGGTTTTGAAAAAATCTCAGTAGTAGCACGGACTCTGAAATTGTGCCCGGTATATGGCAATAGGCTTACCTCCTATTACTTAGGACTCATAACATAAATAGTGAAAAGTGGGTGTTACATTGTACAGTGGTACATAATGTACACCTCTGCCTACTCCTTCGGGGATAAAAGGCGTGATGTTATGTTGATGTTGTTCAAATTTTTTAACAGACTTCATAAAAACAAGGTTCTTAGTTTGATCTGTTTGTATGTTTGTGCGCGATTATCTCGCGGTATGCTAAAACGATTTTGATGCGGTTTCCAGAAAAGAGTTTGTGACACTTAGGAGAAGGTTTTAGTATATTAATTAACCGACTTCAAAAAAAGATGGGGTTGTTGTCAGTCTTTTTTAAATTAGTTTTTAAGCATTATTATTGGAATGATATTGATATCTGACTATTGCACGTGACTTCGTCAGCATGGAATATGAATTTTAGAATATAACTCTATTTTCGTTTTAATTTTCCAAAATAAAAATAGCCTATGGTACTCCTTAGTAGATCAGCTACCTACCAATAATAGTCCCGTCAAAATCGGTCCAGCCATTCTCGAGATTTGCCAGTAGAAACAAACAGACAGACAAACATTTTAAAAAGTGTTATTGTGGTATGTGTATCGTATGTATACGCTTATGCACGTAGTCAAAAGCGTTAAGTTATTTTAATATTACAACAGATGCTCCAATTTAATTTATATGGAATAATTATGTGTTATGTGTATGTGAACTTGTATGTGTGTAAATGCACCCACGACACAGGAGCAAATCCTAGTGTGGGGCAATGTTTTTTTAAAAAAGAAAGAAAAAAAGCTAAAGTTTTAGTGCAGTGTTGCAGAAACGTCTCTTTTATAAGAAAGGTAGAAAGGAAAACCATTTATTACTTCACGACACACAACAAGAATACGCAGCGCAATATGCTGTTCTATTTTAATTGACCGTCTTTTTGCAAGTTAAAAAATAAACTCACCTTTACCAGTCAATTGAAATCAATTCCTCAAACACATACAGATAACATTACCAACTACTTTATCAAGGAATTATGAACTATTGAAACAGAAAATTAGGGTTCTATTTTCGCCAAATCTTACCGTGTATCATCATTATCATCATCAACAGCCATCAAAAGCCCACTACTGAGCAAAGCCTCTTCTCACACGGAGAAGGTTTGAGCATTAATCACCACGCTTGCTCAATGCGGGTTGGCCTTTACAAACTTATAATTAGAAATTATAGGTCCAGGTTTCCTGACGATGTTTTCCTTCATCGTTTGTCAGTGGTGTCTGAATAATCTTAGAAAGTATATGTAACTCGGAAAAAGTCACATTGGTACTAGCTGTTGGCACCCTCATTCATGAGAAGCGGGCGTCTTAAACCTCCGGGCCACCACGGCTTGTATCGACCGTGTATCATAACAAAATCTAATATCACATTTATTTAGGAATAGTTATACAAAATAATCAGTAAAGCAATATCTTGTTAAGGACCCCTGAAGGCGTATCTGTGTCGTACCCTCGTCTGACCAAAACCTTTATTTTGTTTGTACACAACCGTTTGTGACCTTCAACTCTCTGACCTTTCGAGGTCATAAAATCGTGGCAATCTTTTTGTTCCCTCTTTTAATTAAAGTGTTATATTGCATTTTGTCTCTTATTATAGTGAGAATAGAAACATTTTTTACATTCTATGTAGTATAACTTGTTGGAATCACTAATCAAATTATTATTATGAATGTCAAAGTTTCTTTATTTGGATGTTTATCCGTCAACCGTCAATCACGCTGAAACTACTGATCGGAATTTGATGAAGGCTGACTTAGGTGACAGGATACAACATGGAATAAAACAGAAATCATATTATACGCGGACGAAGTCGCGGGGGACAGCTAGTGTTATATAAAATTCACTTTTAAAGAAAACGTAAATCTTCATGTGTAACTTAAGTTTTTATGAGATACGTTGTGTTGAAACACAATGCAAGCGTTGCTTCATGCCAGTTTTCTGCGAGGCCGTGGCGGCGCTCCAACTTGTATAATTCCATCGAACTTACATTAAAATTACTTGTTTAAAATAATCTTTGCAAAACAGAAAATATGATTAGGTTTAAAATTAGAAACACTGTTAAGCAACGGGCTCATATACCACATAAAAAAATAGTGAACAACATCGAAGCCTCCCAATTTCTTATATACAGAAAACGAAATCAAAGTTTACCTAACCTTTCTCTTTTAGCCGACACTGAAACAAAATTCTAGTCGTTTTTAAAAGGAACTCTTTTGCAAAAACATGGCTTCCAGGTTTCAACAAAGTTCAGAAGAAGAAAAAAATAAAAAAAGTTCGTTTGCTGTTAATTTTTTGTTCTCACTTCATTTGTCGGATGCTTTTTAAAGAAATTCTTCGTACCGAGCAATTCCTTGTCAAATTAATGAACTGGTTTATTGTGCTGTCGTTGAAATGTTAAAATATTTTGTTTCCAAACTATTTTATTACTTGGAGTTAAGGTTGTTGTTTTTATGAAACTTTTTCTGTTTGTTCTAATTAATTAAATAAATAATTCTCCTTTTGAACTACGTGAACTGTTTTTTGTTAAGAGATGAGCTAGAAAATCTTTCCCATTTACCAGCATAAAGACCATTTGAACTTCACAACGGTTGTTTAATTTTTTATTTCATATGTCAGGGGAGGCATGGTTATGTTCCGGTTGCTCAGACATAATGAGGGCGAATATGAGTATCGTGTAAATAGGAAAAGCGTTTTAGAATGAAACACTAAATTTCTTATAATCATAAGGTACAGTAACTGAGCACTAACGAAACGTAGGGCACTTCCGTGACAACGTCTTCACTGAGTGGTGACTCGAACTGAAGTGACGCCACGACTGTGCCTAAGCGCACCTGAAATCCGCTAGGTGGCGCGCTTGCATTCCATTAAGCGTCCGTACTCATGACCGGCTCCGACAAATATTTATTAACATTACCATTTTGATATTAAATTTGATTTTATTTCAAAATTATAGTTTGATGTTATAATTTATTTTCTGGCTTCATAATATTCTAGCAGCATAATTTTTTTAGAACCGGAGTTTCGGGAGTATTATTAGATGATCTTAAAGAGATAGGCATGTGTACAGCTATTCTTCTGTACGAGAATGAAGATGATGATGATATTGATAATGCTGATGAAATAGATGATTAAAAGAAAACCAAAACAGTGAATTATCATTTTAGTAATAAAGTAAATTATATATTTATACATGATAATATTGTAATACTTTACATAACTCAAAACATTTTCAATTCACAACGTCAGATCTGACTGTGACGTCGGAGCTACTTGTGACGTCAGACCTGAGAGTGACGCTGATGTCAGACTCCGAAAATACGTCAGGGCGGGGCGGCGTATACGTTCTGAAAAAAATATATATATTTGACAAAGAATAGGATAGTTTACAAATTAATCAATTGCCCGTTTTCATCAACCTCTCCTAAATGAGAGACAGGGACAGGACTGATACAGGTGACATTCAAAGACATTTTAGTGTCCCTAACCTAGCGGTAAAATAAATAGGGTTAACCTTTCGCGCGCTTCTCGTACACACCGGTAAACGCGCGTTCTCGTACACACGGGTAAATATTTTAAAAGAAAAGCGAATTAACTATTCTGTTCAATCAAATAAAGAACGGGTTGCAAACTTGAAAATACACGTCACAGAAAAAATATCCAATCAGTGCGCGTTTCTCGTACACCCATGTGTACAATTGCGTGATGGGCACTCAACTCTCGTACACCCGTGTGTACGAGAAACACGCGAGAGGTTAATTTAGGTGACACAAAAAGCTAAGTAACTTTTCGTTAAGAGATGAGAACGGTTATTAATTCCTTGTTCCCATGTTAAAAGCAATAAACATAAATAAGTGATATTAATTGGTTCCAACATTTATAATTATCTTTTAATATCTTTTTTATACTCATAAGTCAATGTACTGGTACACTTACTTGTTAAATGGCGTATTGTAAGCTATATTGTCTAGTCTCCATGTCGTAAACTTCTTTGGCCGACCCTTCAGTTTATTGATTGGCCGGTGACTGTAACAAACAAAGAAGAATCTTAGAACCTGGCAACACGAATTAGCATCATTGTCAAATTACCTATAATTATTAATATTGCAGCCTGACGCCTAATTTCCTTTCTACATCCGATTTTAGGATACATTTTAAATTTAAATGGGTCTTGAGACTACATACTCAGCTCATATTGACAATCAGCGTTCAGAACTGATGCCCAGTTAAACAACTGCCTATGTGCTCACCTCATTGGTCACCCTGTATATTGATAGGCATAAACATAAATTCATTGCTCACTCGTTTTAGTTTATAATGTCTTCTAAACCGGCTTAAAGATCTAATATTCAAGATGACATTGTTTAGTTTAACACTTATGCCAGACTTCGTCGGTTTCAAAGTCTTTATGGTCTTCAACGCATTTACGAGTTTATCACCACTCAAAGACGATCGGACGCGGTGAAGACTTGTAACTCTTGTTTGGAATGGTGAAACCGTGGGAATGGACTTCCACCGAGATCTGAGAGTAAAAGAAAATAAATTTGGATTAGGTGTTCATCATTCCAAACAAGATAATGCGCTGAAGACACAAAGCGTAGTAGATATTCCGAAATGGACGTGGAAGGACAAAAAGACGATTAAAAAGAATATGAAGAGATTGTGTGCAGAATGATAATATGACTTAGGAGAAAGAATAGATAGCTGTAGAAGACAGTAGAGTGCCAACTCCAAATAACCTGGGATAAGGTCATTAAAAAGAAGACAGCCAGAAAAGTGGATGGCAAATTAGATGATAGTAGATATTTTGTCAAAGATCGAAGAACATTGTGCACTTATGACAAGTAATCGCTACCACAAGGATTCATATTATATTGAGTTCCTTATTTATTCTTATAACCATTCGATAAATAATACAAACTTGCTGAACTTGCTCCTCTTTATTTTTGGTGGCTTGTATCGCCGCTTCCCACCAAAGGCGGTGAATTTTTTCTTTCTGGAAAAGAAAATTTTATCACGTAATGTATTTTTATACATTAAGTACATAGCTTATAGAATATTAGTAACAACTTGATTTGGTAATGGACTGGCTTTATCTGTCGAAGGTTTACCCTAGGTAGCCAACATAAAGCGTTCTAGAGGAACTAAATTATCGTAATATGTCTTTCTGTCTGATAGACCGAAGACTTAGAAGGTCAAAGGCGGTCTTTATGGGCAAAGCACATCACGAGAGTGCCTATCATCACTATTGTACATTAGTTTGACACTTATCAAACGGTGTCCAGATATCGATCTATATCATGATATAATTATTATAATATTATTCCAACAAAACTAGACAAGATCCAAGCGATCATCGATGACCGCTCTCCACTTACACTATTATAGACCTTATTTCCGACGTTTAGAGACTACTTTTATATAAACAAACTAGCAAAACCTACGAACTCCGTTTCGCCACCAATTGGCATCATTTAATGTAACATTTCGTTTGGTGATTAAAATGTAAAGAATTTTTTTTCCTGAATTTTCTTTACTATAAACCTCACGGAGCCCGAGACCTTTCCAACGAACACAAAGCCGTGGAAATCGGTTCGTGCGTTCTGGAGTTATAGCGTCAGGAAGGAAACCCCGACTTATTTTTATATAGAAGATGACAACATCTTCTTTGATTTTTCATAATCGAACATTTATGAGTTAATTCATTTTCACCGTTGAACCTAACATTTCCCAATACACATAATATCCACTAGACCAAACGCGACTAGACAATTTTAACTAACAATATTTGAAACACAAGTTTAATCTAATTTATTCCATCCCTTAATTAGTTTTTACACGTGTCCAATTAAACGTTGAAGTAATTTTACTACGAAGATTAATTTGAGTGAAAATTCAAAACTATTTAAATATTCTAAATAGAAATTTTCCCTTTAAATCCAAATGCAAATAATTCAAGGTCGACCCTAACTGGAATTGGATTATAATCAGGACTATGTTTAAATTTTACGTTTGAATATAAATTTAATGTCTAGCTAGGGTATGTAGATTAAAAAAAACCGCTGCCTTACACTAGCATTTTTCCTGTGTCATAGGTGCGTTTCCAAACATACAAGTTCACATACACATGTCATCCCCAGAACAATAATCTGTGGATGAAAAGGAGTTGTTCCGTGCGGGAATTGAGCCCGCGACACGTTGCATGGTAGCCCAACCACAGCGTCAACCGTGCAGTCAGAATGATTTGTTGACCTCTTGGAATGAGATCTTGAGTTCACATCTCAGTTCAAATCATGGAAATTTTTCGGAATATTTTTAGTTTGGAGTGAGGTTATCGAGGCCCAATTACCCCCTCCCCACCCATAGGTGTTCTGTTCATTCAGTTATTTCACATTACAATCATAAAACAAAATCTTACTTTTGTGGGTAATGTATAGTAACTCCCGCTGGTGTGATCTTCTTTTTACAGATTCCTTCATTGCCGCATACACATCCCTTAGGTGGCAAGTATTGGGGGATAGGCACTACTCTGTAAGGAAAACTTTAATAATAACTTTACCAGCGGCTCTGCCTGCGTTGCATCCAGATCCTTTAAGTTATTTACTCAATCAGGGTACCAAATATACACCAAAATTAACCCACAAACTATCCCAGTTATACCAACTCTTAGTAAGATTTATAATCATTCATTTATATCTTGAGCTCTTTTCTAAATGACTTTTATCAGGTCACTCTTTATTTTTAACTGAATATAAGCAATACTGCTTGTCCAAAAATATCTGTTATCTACTACTAAAAGCCATGCTTCGGCACCCATGGGCCTGTTCGACTGGAGTGATACTGCACGACTTCACAGGAAACCAACATGCAACAACGCGAGCGTTGTATTTCATCGTGTGAGTGAGGTGACCAAGAAGCCCAATTACCCTCCCCCGCAAACTCCCCAATTCTTGAATCTCCAACAATCCTCAAATTCCTAATCCCCAAAGGCCCGGTAATGCACTTTTAGCGTCTCTAGTGTATCAGGTGTTTATGGGCGACGCCGATTGCTTATTATCAGGTGATCCGTTTGCTTCTTTATTGCATAAAAAACCATTATCATTATCATAATCGTCATCCTATTATTGTGGTCGTAATAAAAAAAAACATTCTGACTCACTCTTTCTTTTTGAAAACTTTCCATTTTGGCTTTTCTGTTACCACATAACGTACATTGGACAAGCTGCAACAATATAACAATAAATATCACAAATAATGATAATAAATAAAAATGACCCGAAAAATTTATAACACATTGTTTTAGTTCAGGCATCAAACCTAAGTAATTATATTCCCCAACTATGTTTAAAATTATTAAAACAACAAGAACGTCACAAGCGATATTAAGTTTGAAACATAAAAGACACGATGACAAAGAAAAACTCTGCAAAAAATCAAATAAAAAACGAAAATAATAAAGGAAGAGGTACATACCTAATGAAAAACTTTACTGAAAGAACTGACTGTGATGAAAATATTGCTATATTAATTTAAAACAAGTCCTAGATAAAGGCTGCTTGATCTAAACAACAATAATATATCTTTTAAAATAACTTGATAGGTCGACGTTTGCCCACGTCGGTCGCACGCATCACGCCTAGTAGTAAGTATAATGCTACTATAATTGTAAAATGAATGAACACGTTCGTTTGTTAAATAATAAAAATGTATATAAAAATTAAAGCATTTTCTTAAACGGAACGTTACCCCACACTAGTTGTAGGCAACTTTTATGTTAAAAATGTAGCGCGATAAGAAAAATGGTGGTAACGTAGTGAATTTGTTTTCGCGCTAAAATTCAAAATTCGAAGCCCCACCCACGCCTCGCCCGAGCGCGCGCCGCGCTCGCGCCCAACAGTCGTCGCCAAAACGTTGAGTGAGTGAGCGTGTTCGAAGACGCTCCGCATTCCCGCCAATTTTCTCGGTTTTTAAATTCGCTGTGGAAACATCCAGCCCCAATATTTTACACTAGTATCGATTCACTTGCGTCATGGCGTTTACAAACGTACAAATTCACATACACATCGCTTTATGTGGGGTATCCTGTAGTTTCTGCCTATCCTACGTTTCGGAATATATTTAAAATTAAAGATCATCTGAAGTGTCAATCATCCTCCTTACAGTATCTTTGTAAAGAAGATGTGGACTTGTGCCCCACTGCTCTAAAGTTAATAATAAGAACACGCCACATCACGCCTTTTATTTTCGAAGGGTTAGGTAAAGGTGCACATTACGGCACTTAATGCCACGTTTCAACAAATGACAAAGTGGGTGTTACTTCTGTGTGCACCTCTGCCTACCCCTTCGGGGATAAAAGGCGTGATGTTATGTAATGCCACTTTTCACTATTTATATTATGAGTGCCGTATAAAAGGTGGTGAGCCTATTGCCATATACCGGACACATTTCCAGAATCCGTGCTACTACTAATGAGAATTTTTTAAAACCCAGTAATACTTTGCTCGACCCGGGAATCGTACCTGAGACCCGTTGCCCAGAAGTCAAACTTGCGAGCACTCGGCCAATGACGCCATTAATTTTTTTTTATTAAGTATATAGATACAACTTAAAATATAAATAACTAAAACCTAAAATATTTATACATTAAAAAAAATAATAAAAATGTTATCTTAAGGCATCAAAAAAAAAGTCCTCATCGCTGTCGTGAGGTAGGGTGCCCAAAAGACTGGCAGCATTGCCACGCCGAATGGCAATGCTTAACCGTTGCCCAAGGTAGTAGCTGGCTACTACCTTGGGCAACGGTTCCTCCGATGACTTTTTAATTAAAATTTTCTTTATATTATGCTTACCTGGTATTGCTAGTAGCTTCATCCACTTTCCTTTTAGCCCTAAACTCTTTACTGAGCAACAAACCCATTTTTGACTTAATTGTTTTCTTTTCTGAACGATATCTTGTTTATTCCACTCTTATCTCTTCTGCACTCCTTAATTTATTATCTTAGACAATTCACGTGATATCTTCGAATCCATTGGATGCATTTTGGTTAGTTTTTAATTTTTATAATTTATTTATTTCATGTTTTGCAATTGCGTTATGAACGTATGACATTGATTTGACAGTCTTTGTCAGCAACATTTTTGTTCATAAACTTATGTGTGACAAATATCTTGACGACAGATCTTCTGCAAAGAGGAAGTGAAAAGAGGTATAATTTGGAGTTATAATAATCATTTATAATCGAATGACTGACTAAGATATGATCTAAGAAATAAACAAGAGGAAAAATAATATTTTGCAGCAGCATCTTTGTAAGTCCAATGTTAAATTATGATGTAACATTGAACAGTAGTTTCTAACATACAAATTACAAACTGGTTAACACAATACATTTCACAAAATATTGCCAACCACCATTAAACTCCAAAACCTATTCAATTACTCCTCTCAAAACCTCCCATTGACAGAATAAAGCCTACAATTCATCATCGATTCCTTTCTTTACACAACCCTCCACGTTTTGGACAATACATCCATAATTTCATCCGAAAAACTTAAACAGCCTTGACATTTAGACCCTATAAGATTCCATTTGAGAAGAAACTTCCATATTCATACAGTCCAATGTTCCCATTGATCTCCCAAAAACAACCTGGGCCTAAACAAACAAGCATAACTTTGGGAAAACTTCTAACAAAGCGCTTGGGTTCGCAACTTGTAAGGATTTTATTCTTTCGAAATGTGTGTGGCTTAGCGACAGAGTTTTAAAAGGATTCCGTGTGGTGGCGAATTTATTGATGTTTTTGATCCAATTTCTTATAACATTACGTTCCATCTAGTAGATTTTCAAATCTTTAAAGCATCTAAACATTTTCACAGTAAATTTGATAAGCATAGAATATTATATCTCCACTAGATACGACTGCTTTCCATGACTGTCCAAACTACGTTGACAAATCGATACAATGACAAAGAAAATAAAATACAAACGACTCTCATAATAAAATATTACACTGCCAAGAATTTGAAAAGAGATTTAGATCCAAGATGCTCAATTTGCTTCAAGAAGATGGCGCTACCAACGAATTGTGCCATCCGGACAGGACAATGTCTATAAAGCTCTCAACTTCATAAACATTTTTATAACCCCTTAACGGTATTTCAATACACATAATAGTACATTAGTTGCGCATTCACCTTTCAAAGGATATCCTTATCACTTTGCATACAAAATGGCCCAAACCTTTGCGGATGGAGCATATGTTTATACATCAGGAAATATAATATTTTGTTGATATTTTATTGAGTTTTCTGTTAGAAAAAAGGCTTGTTTCCTGTGTATTGATGTTGGTTTAGGAAAAGGTGTGAAGGTGTGACGATTCACAGGGTTTGAAGGATATCAAGTTACTTGGATCTGGTGGTTTTAAAATGATAGTATAATGTCTCAAGGTTAGAAGAAGCTGCGATTGCATATGGAATGTTTTTGATTCTTAGTAATTTACGCCCGAATACTGAAAAGCATTTCTTTAATATGAATCTATCTAGATAGAACTATATTTATGCGCGAATTAAAATTGAGTAGCACTTCAGTATTCCGTCATTAGATTTCCAGATTCATATTATGGAGTGAAAATAAAATATATGAGAGCCCTGAGAAGTATGTGTGGACTAAACCTGAGTGATTGAGTGAAAAATAGTGTTATTAGAGAAAAGTGTGGATTGAAAGATGATGTAGTGACAAAATTTATTATTGAAACTTCCACACTCACATTATGGCTATATACAAATTTTGTAAAACTAGCTTCTATTACTTTTAATAATAAGAACGTAATTCCTACTTTGTTTTTCTTACTTACTTCGTCCAGCTCTGATTTTATTTTTTGATTAATTATCAAAAAGTGTGGTTACTTTGCATTATGATCCTATTGAACTTCTAAAATCGTATCCCTATTCCCTCTTAGGTACAATTTAAGGACGCGATTATTATATAAAGCCTAATATTACTGAAAAAACAATACACTTAAGAACAATCGATCGGACCGAGGTTACTTGAAGCGCCTATTGATTCGTTCCTGTTGGCACTTGTCACCTTACGAGTATGATCGATTGCTACATATGAGACACCTGGTGCTTGTGGGATATAGGATAAGCGATGGCGTGTTATGAAACAAAAAAGTTTTTCTATGTTTCATGGTAGTTTTTGAGATGCGTTCTCCAATCTGACTGCACGGTTGGTGCGGTGGCTGGGCTACCGGCTGCCGTGCAACATGTCGTGGGTTCCATTCCCACACGGAACAACACTTTATGGATCACAACAAATTGTTGTTTCGGGTCTGGGTGTCATTGTATTGTATTTGTGAACTTCTATGTTTGTAAACGCACCCATGACACAGGAGAAAATTCTAAAGTGAGGCAATGCTTTTTAAAGAAAAAAAAATCTTTTTGCCATGAAGATTATGAGAAACTCTCTCCAGAAGATGATGGCCAGCATTGTACTCCCAGTGGAGTAAATGCCCGTCCCGGGCTGTGGACGCCCGGGGGGTGGGTTTCCGAAACTTTTTAGTCAATAAGAATCTGACACTACCTCTCGCCTCACCCAAGCTGATAGAAGCCATTTGATGAATCACATCAGTATTGAACAAGCATGGGGATGGATAATAAAAGAATTTGTTAGTGCGATGATGAGAATATTTTTATAGCTACAGTGCATTAAGTGCAAATTACTTATAATTGTGTTTGAAATACCGAATTGTTCACAGTATAAAGAGTAACTGCACACATTTAACATTTTTTTTTTAAATACCTGATATTTTTTTGTGTCATACCTAATACAAACATTATCGTCAACGTTAACAACAAATATAATATATTTTCTGTGCCAATCACAATTTATAGCGATAATAACATCGTGAACGATCCATCACAAAGCCGATGGAAAATTATACAAGAAATTTTTCAACGTCTCACACACTTTTGTTATATTGAAAAGTTACTTTTGTGTTTACGTCGTTAAAAATGAAATTAATTTGTCTAAGGGATATTTTAGTTTCATAGTTAATTATTACTTTTTAGGTAATTGACTTTAGATTGAAACTTAATATAATAATAACTCCACAATTGTGATACCTTACCGCCATACTCAGAATTATTACTTAACCCTTAATGTTAAGTGTGGGAGAGCCCTGCCTCACCTAGACGGGAGCAGTCATTCCATGATTTTCTCCCCTTAAAAAAAAAAGTATGGGAAAGCCATGTTTCGGCACGAATAAGCCGGCTCGACCGGAGTAATATCACGGCCTCACGGACAACAGACGTGAAACAACGGTTGCGTTGTATTTCGTCGTGTGTTACCGGAAGCCCAATGAGGCTTGGGGAAGGGCTTCCCCAATCCCCGAATCCCCAACAATCTTAAAATTCCTTAGCCTTAAAAGGCCGGAACGCCTCTGGTATTCCAGGTGTCCATGGACGATGCCGATTGCTATATCAGGAGATCCGTCTGCTCGCTTACCGGCTTATCCCATAAAAAACTCAGCTTTTACAATTGTTTTTGAAACAAAATCGTTACAAAGGAATAGTTTAAGTTATCATTAAATATTTCAGAGTACGGCAATTAGAATAGACGGAGAACCTCCCCTTTACCAAATAGGAATCATCGCATCCTGTCCCTTAAAATATTTTTTCCTCATCGCTACTTATGTCAGAACAGATACCAACATCCAAAGACGTCGAAAAAAAGTGAACACAGTCTTTTGAAACAGCTACTTTTTTTAAGGGGGGAATATCATCGAATGACTGCTCCCACCTGGGTGAGGCGGGAGGGAATATCAGACTGTTACTGACTAAAAATCACCCCGTTCCTACTCCTGCACGTCGAGCCGGAGCCCCGGTTACCCGTTAGGTTCTCCGCGACTCCGAATCGGCATCGGCCCTGAAACAGCCACTGTGGCACCTGGTTACTACAGACTTAAACGCAAAACGTACACACATAGACGTGAAGAATAAAAAAGTAACGAATGGAGTCTCTTGCTCGTTCTTCTCCATTCGATCGAACTACATTTTGGAAAGACCACCTTCACTGATGGACAGACTTTTTTTATGGGACAAGCCCGCCACAACCTCCTAAAACCGCTGCAACTCCTGTAAGCCATCTACAGTAGATACAACCATGAAAACACCGGAACACTGAAGTCCGGCGCGTCCCAGGGACATGAGTAACTGTCTTGGTTCCCGCAACGAAGTGAATCAGAAGATATTATAAGAGGAGAAGAAGAACATGACAACGCCAACAAATATAAAATAAATGATGGACAGACTATTATTTATTTTGTATTGGTTGGCGTTTCAAAAGTACCAAATTATGGTTTAATTAAATTGAAGGCTTTGACATTTGAAGGACATTCTGTCATTTTCTTAACTCTGATAACGTGGTAACTCATTACACACGCACACATAAATAACCCATTGATATTTTGGTGCTTCTATCATTCCTAAGTTACGTTATGTCCGCCATTTTTCAAAATTCTTGCCAATATTCATAATTAGAAACGAACTCTACGGTACAGCAAATATAGATTCCATCGATGCTTCATTTAAAAATTTTCCTCCATTTGGGTCAAGTGAAGTGTAGTGCTTTATACCGAAGTGTAGTCGATACACAGCAAGACATTCTTTGATATTCTTTCCCCACAAAGTGGCCAGTGACGTTGCTTTGTGCTCCTCCATTGTTCCACCCTTGCAGAGAATACAAAGAAAATTTTATTTTTAAAACGCTTATGGTAGAATTTATAGAGCTTCTAGAAGAGCTGGCTGTGAATTATGACGTTGTGTTTATTTTTGAATGGTTTTGTGTTGTGTTAAAATTTAATATAACAATATTGGCCTTTTTAATAGATCTTGTGTTTAATTATATTTTTTTTTTG